CGAACTTTATGAATAAAGAGCATTAGGTTTAAAAGGTGAAAGAAATTTTAGGAAGTTTTCATTATCTTTTTACAAAGAATAGTTTAAATTAATCAAAGTTAAACATATAATGAAATATTTTAGTTGGGATGTTTGTGTTTTTACTCAGCCTTGAAAAAGGTATTCATACCATTTTAAATGTTTATTGTATTTTGTCATATCAAAAAATTGAGCTTCAATATATTTGATATATAATCCTGTAGAAAAAGTAATGAATCTTGCATATGCTTTCTTTTTCTAACATTTTTGAGTGCCCCATTTATAGTAATTCCCCTAGATCTAATGGCCTACAATTGATTCCCTGTATAAATCCACTCATGTGCAAATAGTGTCCACCTGTGTGCCTTTTATTTCCTAGTATAGATATAACTGTTCTCAGAAGGCCTTAGAGGCTTGTTAAAGAATATTAGAGAACAAACGGTGTCACAAGAACTCCTGGAATCTGTGATTTTAGCTGACAGACCAGGGTTGTTCAGTAAACTAAGTTTAAGGTACCTGGTACTGTAGTAAAAAATTATATTATGGACCCTAAAGCTGTGTATAAGCTCAGGCTTTTTAAAGCTTTGTCCATCTGGATCTTATGCACCTATTTCTGCTTTGAAGTCTTGTGCGGAAATACAGAGGCAGAGTCAAGGTTTGAAGTTCCTCTACGGCTGACTTACCTCTGAGCCGGCAGTGCAGAGTATGGGTTAAGTGTGTGCATGGCATGCTGTTCATGCCAACAATGCAGCTGTCACACTGTTGATCCTCTGCTGCTGGTTTGAGTTTAAACACACAGTAATGTTGCTCTGAACAACCTCTGGTTTTTGTCTGTGTAAATCATTGCAAGAGAATAGCAGCAGCTGAAAAAGGACTTGGTGTATTATGGACATTTATAAGGCAAAAGATTGTAGGCAAAATGCCTAATTATATAGTTTAAATGCTATTTTATTTTTTTGGCCCCAATACCGATACCCGAAAGCTGGCTGTGCAGTATTGGCCGATACCGATACCATGTGTTTGAAATTGATGTGTGTGTGTGTGTATATAGAGAACTGCATACTACTCGGATGTAAAATAATTGCCATCATGGCTTCGTCAAACTTCTGCCTACCTTTGTGAAGCAGGAGTAGCCTAATAGAAAGTGAATCCAGTACAACATTTGATTGCCTACCGGGAATAGGTGACAATAGTTGAATAAAGTTTTGGCTCTCAAACAGGTATTGGTGCCCTATTTGGTATTCGTGCCCTATTTGTCAATACTTGCCGATACCACCATTTTAGTGCAGTATCGTATATATTTGTATATGTATGTATATGTGTATATATATATATATATATATATATATATACGTATATATATATATATATATATATATATATATATATATATATATATATATATATATATATATATATATACACTATATTGCCAAAAGTATTTGCTCACCTGCCTTGACTCACATATGAGCTTAAGTGACATCCCGTTCCTAATCCATAGGGTTCAATATGACATCGGTCCACCCTTTGCAGCTAGAACAGCTTCAACTCTTCTGGGAAGGCTGTCCACAAGGTTTAGGAGTGTGTTTATGGGAATTTTTTGACCATTCTTCCAGAAGCGCATTTGTGAGGTTGCACACTGATGTTGGACGAGAAGGCCTGGCTCTCAGTCTCCGCTCTAATTCATCCCAAAGGTGTTCTATCGGGTTGAGGTCAGGACTCTGTGCAGGCCAGTCAAGTTCATCCACACCAGACTCTGTCATCCATGTCTTTATGGACCTTGCTTTGTGCACTGGTGCACAGTCATGTTGGAAGAGGAAGGGGCCAGCTCCAAACTGTTCCCACAAAGTTGGGAGCATGGAATTGTCCAAAATGTCTTGGTATGCTGAAGCATTCAGAGTTCCTTTCACTGGAACTAAGGGGCCAAGCCCAGCTCCTGAAAAACAACCCCACACCATAATCCCCCCTCCACCAAACTTTACACTTGGCACAATGCAGTCAGACAAGTACCGTTCTCCTGGCAACCGCCAAACCCAGACCCGTCCATCAGATTGCCAGATGGAGAAGCGCGATTCGTCACTCCAGAGAACGCGTCTCCACTGCTCTAGAGTCCAGTGGCGGCGTGCTTTACACCACCGCATCCGACGCTTTGCATTGCACTTGGTGATGTATGGCTTGGATGCAGCTGCTCGACCATGGAAACCCATTCCATGAAGCTCTCTGCGCACTGTTCTTGAGCTAATCTGAAGGCCACATTAAGTTTGGAGGTCTGTTGTGATTGACTCTGCAGAAAGTTGGCGACCTCTTCGCACTATGCGCGTCAGCATCCGCTGACCCCGCTCCGTCAGTTTACGTGGCCTACCACTTCGTGGCTGAGTTGCTGTCGTTCCCAAACACTTCCATTTTCTTATAATACAGCTGACAGTTGACTGTGGAATATTTAGGAGCGAGGAAATTTCACGACTGGATTTGTTGCACAGGTGGCATCCTATCACAGTTCCACGCTGGAATTCACTGAGCTCCTGAGAGCGACCCATTCTTTCACAAATGTTTGTAAAAACAGTCTGCATGCCTAGGTGCTTGAATTTATACACCTGTGGCCATGGAAGTGATTGGAACACCTGATTCCAATAATTTGGATGGGTGAGCAAATACTTTTGGCAATATAGTGTATATATATATATATATATGTGTGTGTTTGTGTGTGTGTGTGTGTGTGTGTGTGTGTGTGTGTGTGTGTGTGTGTGTGTGTGTGTGGCATATATTTCACATGCTGTTGTGCAAATGGAATAGACAACAGGTGGAAAATATTGGCAATTAGCAAGATACACTCAATAAAGGAGTGGTTCTGCAAGTAAGGACCACTTCACTGTACCTATGCTTTCTGGCTGATGTTTTGGTCTCTATTCAATTTGTAGTATGAAAGGACTCTACAACCTACACAAGTGGCTCTGGTAGTGCAGCTTATCCAGGATGGGACATCAATGCGAGCTGTGGCACAAAGGTTTGCAGGACAAGCCCTGCAAAATGACTTCCGGCAGTCCACAAATGTGCATGTGTCTGCACAAACATTTAGAAACCGACTTTATAAGTATGGTATGGGGGCCCGACGTCCAGAGATGGTGGCTGTGCTCACAGCCTCTCACCATGCAGGATGCTATGCATTGGCCAAAAAATGCCAGTGGTGGGCGATCTGCTGGCAGCAAAGTCCTTCAACATGACCGGTTTAGCAGTGGGTCAGTAATGGTGTGGGGTGGCATTTGTTTTGAGTTCCGCACAGTGCTCCATGTGTTCGTCAGAGGTATCATGACCTCCATTAAGTTCCAAGATGAAATCCTCAGACCCTTTGTGAGACCATATGCTGGTGTGGATGGCCTTGGGTTCCTCCTAATGGAGGACAATTCTAGACCTCATGTGGCTGGAGTGTGTCAGCAGTTCCTGCAAGTGGAAGGCATTCTTCGCCCATTCCCCTGTCTTAATCAGGAAAATCATGTCTCCATCCATCCACCAACATCACATTGCATCACAGACTGTCCAGGAGTTGGCAAGTGCTTTAGTCCAGGGCTTTAGTCCCCTCATCAGGAGTATGCCCAGCCATTGTAGGGGGGTCATACAAGCAGGTGGAGGCCACACACAATACTGAGCCTCATTTTGACCTGTTTAAGGACATGACATCAAAGTTATATCAGCCTGTAGTGTGTTCCTCCACTTTATTTTGTCTTACTCCAAATCCAGGCTTCCATCGGTTAATACATTTGATTTCCATTGATTTTTTCCTGTGTGGTTGTGCTGCAGCACATTCAACTTTGTATAAAACAAGGTTTTCAATGAGAATATTTTATTCCTTTAGATCTAGGATGTGTTATTTAATTGTTCCCTTGTTTTTCTATTTTTAGATAGTGAATAATCAAACAATCTACTGGAACTCTGAAACTGGAATTAGTTTTACTGAAAGGTTGAATGGATAGAGTTAACTGATCTTTGTCTCACTCTAAGCTGTTTTCATGATATTGATATTAAATGTCATAAATTAATGATAATGTTCAATGTTTGATTTATTCTGCAGCCGTACTGTCATCCATCTACCCATGTATTCATTTGTACATTTATCCATCCATTTGTCCGTCCATTGTTTTGCACAGACTGAGAAATCCCCCACTGTTTCTTGGACTTCTTTGTAAACCACTTTCTGTTATTTCATCTGCACCCGTCAGATTGTCTGGCAACAGCGACTAAGCTGGCACTGGGAAACACAAAAACCACACGTATTCTGTGGTGAGACATCACAAAAGCACACATGAACAGGCAGGCAGCTTGACAGAGAGCGCAGCAGACAGATCCTGTGAAAATAATTTAAAGAAGAAAAAAAAAAGAAGAGAAGAATAGCAAATTTTAGATAATGATGGAGAAAAATACAGTCAGCTTGTGTGCAAGCTGTCACAGATGTCCATGAGTTTTTGCTCTTCCCTCTGGATCTGCAACAAGGTCCAAATGTAAATGTCACTATTGATGTCATTGAGACCTGTCAGGTGCCGTGTTAGTCATGTCACACTGAGTGACATGTTGGATGGATAGATCCCAGTTCAGTGGAAGACAAGAACACAATTTCTACCAAGCCCAACAGAGTAGAAGAAGACAATATTTAAAGAACACAGAATATTATGTTCCATGTTTTGTTCTTGCGGGACTGAGTGTGGGTGTAGACATGCATTTGTTTGTCTCCATCCATTTGCTTCATTGTTTCTCTTTGTAACCCAGTTTAATGTTAATTGATAATCATTTACTCACAAGGTAATTGGCATACTGATCATTTAAGCATTTTTCTCTTTTGACTAAACTCTGCTGTAAAAAGAACATGAAATAGAAAAAGATTAAAACACTATGTTCTTAGAAATCCCCTGTTCAGATTAAGGTCTGCAGATCATCTAGAGAAAATCAGTAAACTAAAATAATTTTTCCCTTCTCCTTCTTTTCTTCCTCAGTTTGTTGTTTCGTGGTCCACAAACGGTGCCATGAGTTTGTCGGCTTCTCCTGTCCTGGTGCCGATAAGGGTCCTGACACAGATGTAAGTTCAATGTTGGGGTTCGTATATTCAGTTATATTCAATGAGAGAAATTATTTATGATGAAATGTGTGTCAAAAAATATAATAAATTGCCCAGCAGTGCATGATAGGTTTTACATTTAGTCACTTTGCAAATTATATTTTGACATTTTTTTACTGTGATTTTTGTAATTTGATAAGTAGCATTACATATAAAATACAACTTTATCCCACCCCCTTTTCTCTGATACCTCTAAATAAAATACATTGCCACCAGAGGAACGAACGCCAGACCAGACTTAGCAAAAACCAACAGACATGGCAGACTTGTCTAAATAAGCTTAATCAGAGAAGCACCCAAGAGAAGCCTGAGATACCCAAAGACCAGATGTCTGCTGACACGCCAACAAATTGGGAAAGTTAGTAAACAGTAGCAAAAGTTTGAGTTCTGTAAAAAAGCTGCTCCTGTTTATACATTTAGAAAGCAACTATTGGAAAGTTGCGGTCTGAATGCAGCACAGTAGTTTGCTTATATCAACGTCATACTGGACCGTATTTGCAGGAGGGGTCTCAGAAGTTCACCAAAAGGCCTACTGTTCAGATCTTCAGAGGTAAGGTTTAACATCAGACTGAAGATGAATAAAGTTTGCTTAATTAGACCTTTGAGAGGACGCAAGTGTTGGCATATAGGTGGAAGCAAATTCACAGTGAGAGCCTTGTTAAAGGGTGTAAAAGAGTTCATACTCCAACCAGAAACGACCCAAAACATGCAGCCAGAGTTGCAATGAAAGGGTTAAATCTGAGTACATAAATTTGCCAGTACGGTCAAATCAAAGCCCTGATTGAAGTCCAATCGAGAATTTGTGGCTATGCTTAAAATCGATGTCCACTGACACTTCTATCTAATCTGACTGAGATTGATCTATTTTACACGCAACAAATGTTCATAGCCAATGACACATGCATTTATTTAATCAGGCTACTGCAATGTTCTGTTCACCGGTCTGTATGAATCAGCCCATTCAGAACACGGAATCCTGACTTCTCTTCTAATCCTGTCAGCACACTCATGTCACATTGGTTTTATACTCTGTACACAAGCCCTCTGTAGATATCAGAATGTGTTTTAAAGCCTTCCTGGTTTTCTGTGTTGGCTTTTACCCAGCCCAGAGCAGTTTATAGCCCTCCAACTCAATCCAAGAATTTCCTGATTGTACAAAGCTTTAGAGCTAAAGGTAAAGGGTGTTCCAATCTGTGGCTCCTAAAGTTGCTCCTACAACTCCGCCTACTGACCCTATGGGAATAAGAAACTATTAATAACCTTTTTGGACTACTGGGGTTTAGAGTCATGATTGTATTGTGTATATTCTTATTTTTTAAATTATATGTGTAATATACATTTGATTGAAATTGTATATCACTATGTGACCTTGTGTCTTTAAAGGCACTCTATGTGTGATACATTTATATAGCCTTAACTGCAGCAAAAATTTGCATCTTCTCCCACTTCACAATGATACATTACCCTGTGCCCTTCATCATTGAAGTTTCTAGCAGTGATTGAAACAAAGAAGATATTGCAATCAGCAGTAAAGGCAAAAACATTCTTGTTTTTTTAGTGCTTGCCACCTGTTGCATAAACCATCACCACCGTGTAACTGGCACTGATTAGAATTTCTGATTTAATTTTCTTCTACTGCTGCTGTTCAACCATAGCAGGAATATATATATGCAAATGCTTGAAGACACCAGGCAATTAGAGTTGGGAATCTGTTTTTTTTTTAGAAGCTCTTCATTCATTTTTCAAATAGTCTGTATGCTTTTTCTCTTAATTTTTTGTTAACATATCTTCAATATTACTTGATTAACTGTTTTATAAAATAAATCCATGTTTTGTGATAAACTGTAAAATATACATGTTTTAGGTTTATTTTCTTTACTAGAAAAGTCAAATAGTGGTAGATACTTATTGATTAGTAAATCATGCATTTCTGTATGTATATTTGGATGGATGGGTATGTAGCAATGTAGGTAGGCTGGCTTCTGTTTCTTTTTATTCTAATGTGTTACATTGGCTACCATGCAGACCTCTGCTAACCAGCGTAATGAAGTTGCACTGTGTCTCAATGTCTGCAGCTAACACATACGGGCTCCTCTTTATAGTGAAATATTTTAACATCTGATCCACATGACATCAAATAAAAAAAAAGGAGGCATACATTTAAGTGTTTACTTGCACCTTTGCCTAGTATTTGGTAATAAGGACACTGGAGAAGGGAAACATTAATGCATCTTTTTTTTCCATATGACGTCTAACAGATACATATAGAGGATAGAATTTTGTAGCTGATTTCATGTCTTCTTTTCAAATAAACCTTTGACTTACTGGATTTTTCGAGTTTTTTTAGGACCTCCATCACAAGAAGATAAAGTACCAGCTTCTGAAATACTTCCTCATCTAGGATATTCAATCAGTCCTTAATTGAATCCTTTAAAAAAGCATTCAAAGTAGTGACTGAGAGAGCAACTGCTATAAAAAATGGTTTTCAGAAATGTTTCATAATGATTTTACAAATGTCATCCTTAATTGTGCAAAGGGTTTTGTACAGATAATCAGACATAGCCTCTTATGACACTGATCAGATCATAGGAAACTTGATGGTTTTTCTGACTTTAAAGCAATGCTGAAACCGATGTTAGAGGCACAGGAGCCTCACAATATTGTAGATTTTTATAAAACCTTCCAGTGTGGATGTGCGACCTCCAATAATGACAATCCAAAAGGATGATTAAGAAAGGATCAGGAACCTGAAGGTAAATTATAATAAAGCCAGGTTTAACAAATAAACCAAAGTTTTGCTATGCTCATACTGCTATAGAGATCCTTCAGAACATTATTTTACCTTAATCCGCGATTAACAGGACATTATCAATAGAAATACAGTGCTCCTTTCACTTACTGTAAACAATTTGCTGTAATGTCTTATAGTTTTGCTCATCTCTGATCCATGGTGCCAAAAAACAAAGGTCAGTTAGGCTTCAGCTTCTTCCGATTCATTGGACTAAAAGTGATGTTGATCCATGTTTTTATGACTAAGCCACTAAAGATGTATATTTACAATAAGAGTTAATTTCAGACAAAAACCAAAAACAGTTTTCATAATGAGGACATTACTTTAAATACTTGATTAACTGCAGTACTTATGAAATGTTTATCGTCTTTGCATAGATTTTTCTTTAGACTTTCTCTCATTATATAAACCCAAAAGAGGATAAAAGGTCAGAAGTGGAAACACTTAATTAAAACTGTTACATCTAAGGCAACTCTTGGTGTGTAATTAAAGCAGCTTTTGTTTATGAACTATCTTGCCTTTTCTTTTGCTTCTCTCTTGCCCCTATTTCTGTATTTTATGTCCAAATCTTGGCTTTCATTAGCTCATCTGTATTTCAGCCTGCAAAGCTATTTCTCCCTTCTCTTTCATCTCCATCTCTGTTGCAAACGCACCTAGATCCGTGTTTTAGACTTCCCATTGTGAATCTTAGCATGCCCGTTATTATGCCCATTATTTTTCAAACTGCTGCAGCTCCGAATCTATGGGGAGGTCTTTGAGGGACGAAATGCTTTGAATGGTTAATTAAGATATGGGATTTATCAGCAAAGATACTTAACAATTGAACTAAATTAAGGTTTCTCAGGATTTGATGCTTTACACAGAGTGCAAAAAAAATTCAAGCATTCAAATCATTCTTTGTCAGGTCCAGCACAATAACCACGTTTCTGAGCCTTGATCTATTGAGTTAGGGAGCCATAGAGTAGAGCCCTGATTGGATAAATAGCCAAAATACTTTACTTCCACTTAGGCTCAGCATCTTAGGGGATCTATTGAGCAGGGCCGGATCATGAAGCTGGCTTCTCAATGCTGATTGGCAAACAAATTTACAGTAGGGATAGTTAGTGGGCAGACGGCGAGGAGGTTTTCCTCATGAGTCAAGAGAGAAAGGTATTCATTCAGTCAGAACAGACGTGTTGTGGTGAACTTTTGCCACAATTACTGGAGTTTATTATTTCCAATGCCTTAACAACAGCTATTGTCACCTGTTTTAGTAATGTTAATGTGTTTCAAAAAATGTTAATGCAATATGCAACATTTGGATTAAATTATCACCACTGAGCTATATATATATATATATATATATATATATATATAAAAATAAAAAGATCAGCTGAGATCAAAACTTAACAACAATATACTTGCCCACACACCCAATCTCTACTAGTGATAATCCAACTGTGTGTGTGTGTGTGTGTGTGTGTGTGTGTATATAATGTGTATATATATATATGTCTATAAGTGTATATATACATATATCTGTTTATATATATATATATATATATATATATATATATATATATATATATATATATATATATGCATACAGCTATACTGTGTGTATATATACAATATACACAACAACAACTCTAAAAGTCGGGGGATGCTCTGCTGCATCAGGATCTACGTACATGACTTGCTTTTCTAATGACAGCAGAGGGACCCATTATTCAAATCAAGATAGACAGTGGGATAATAACATATAAAGCATTTATTAAACCAACGATTCATACTTTGTGGATCTGCAGCAGCAGTGGCTAAGGCAGGAACCTCTACAGGAGAGATAGACAGGTTAGTGACCACAATAATCTGACGGAGGATGATTATGAACGTGTGACTTACTAACCTAGTTTTACAGAATGCCCACAGAATGAGGTAGGATCCAGCCGGTCCGCTGACAAGACGCAGCGGGTGCTGCCATAAATTTTCAGACACTGAAACCTTGAAGGCTGCAGAACTGGCAGGAGGTCAGTTTCAAGCAGACAAAGGAAGGCAGGATAATCCAGATTAAAATCAGAAGGCAGATCCAGGTTCAGTCCACAAGAGGAGTCCAACATAACCCGAAGACAGGTCAGGCAAACAGATCAGACGGGCAGGCGGGGTCATAGGTCCGAATAAAGAAACGGGTCAG